ATGTCCCTACCGTCCCTACCCAAACCTACGCCCATGAGTCATGGTTATTTTAGTATGGCAGTAACACACAGTAACGCACACCTCAGCTGGTTCTTCATGTTCATACTCAGTCGTTCTGATCCGATTCTTACTCATAAATAACTGCAAGGTCATGACCTTTCCCCCACAATCACTGACTGCATTTTGGGCTTAATATAATATAATAACACGCCTCACAGTTTAAAAAGAATTTCTTTTTGTCTGAGCAGTACAATGAGTTTTCTGTACTTTTAGACAGTTCGTGCTTTTGAAACATTTGAGACCGACAGCTTGACACAAAAGTTAGAGGTAGATAGAAAGATTTATGAAGCTGCACTAAGAAAACCTTCAGAAGAACAGGAAAGATGAGAATGAATTGGTTAAGAAGAACAGGACTGACAGATTGAAGCTAGTTGTTGTTGTTTTTTTTTTGTAGTTGTTGGGGGTTAAGTTAAATGTTTGCTTTGTGTTTTCCTCCCAGTTTGACCTGGTGTGCAGCGAACAGTGGAAACAGCCTCTGACTTCTCTTGTCTACTTTTTGGGAGGACTTTCTGGATGTTTCATCTCCGGACTGATCTCTGACCGGTGACTCTCCGTCTCTTCATTTAATGTTTGCAAAATGAAGTGTCTCCCTGTTCCGAAAGCATGAATGATTTACAAATTGGAGTCGCTTCTAAGCCGTTTAGTTATAGAATTGCCATGTTTTTTGATGGCATGTTTCCGTCTTGGGTAACACTTTATTTGACGGGGTGTGCATAAGACTGACATGACACTGTCATAAACATGACATAACACCTGTCATGAACATGAAGGAGTCTTTATGAATGTTTATCACAGTTGCCATGAAGTGTCATTCGGTAAATAATGACACTTTTATTGCAAAGTTGCTCTAAAAGTTGCATTAAAAGTCCATTAAAAGTGCCAACTTTGCATGATTTTGTAAATTATGATAATTTAATGCAAAGTTGGCATTTTTAATGGACTTTTAATGCAACTTTTAGAGCAACTTTGCATTAAAAGTGTCATTATTTACCGAATGACACTTCATGACAACTGTCATAAACATTCATAAAGACTTCTTTATGTTCATGACAGATGCTATGTCATGTTTATGACAGTGTCATGTCAATCTAATAATAATTTAAGCTAATAATGGTGATTAAATTCTGTTCTTCATCAAAAAGATTCCTGTTCTTTATCGTCAAACATATGGTGATGACCCGCTTCCTTTATCAGAGTCATTTTCTTAAAATGACAGACTCCAAACTGCTTAAGGAAAATATTAGAAAATGTTTTCAGACTAATTATTGATATTGTTTGGCTTTCATTATCATAGTGTGAACAGAAACATTTATTCAGTGCATTTGATTGACTAAGTGAAACCTATGAAAGCATTCACGCCCGAGTCCTTCTCTGTTCTGGCACTGCAGGTTTGGCAGGAAACCTGTTCTGTTCGGGTCCATCGCCATCCTCAGCATCTTCAGCAGTGCTGTGGCTTTCGCTCCGTCCTGGCCTGTCTTCACTGTTCTCTTTTTTATGCTGGGCCTGGGTCAGATCTCCTGCTACATAGTCGTGTTTGTGCTGGGTACGTTTCGTTGTGGATCTTTACTCTCACCGTCTCCTAATGCTATGTTCATGGCCACTCAAATCAGAATACCTCATTTGTTTAATGTGACTTGTTAAGCTTCCCTGAACAGGATAGGCCTACAGGCCAAGCAAAAAATTTTCATTACTTTCATCTTAGAATGAGTTATTTTAGGGCCTCTTGTCACTTTAAATCTATATGAGCTGCTGCTGGCCACACCCCTAACTCAATATTTACACCTCCACTTGAAAATGACTGCAAACAGATGCACAATTACACAGATGTGCAAATTTGAAAAGCAGAAGTGGAGCCTCCTGCACAACCAGCAAGAATGCAGCAAGTGGTTTCTGGATGGTGAGTAAACAACAAAACGCTTGTCTTTTCCGACTGCCATTGTTCGACGCATGCAGTGGTAAAATCCAGCTGACCAAACTTGCTGGAGATCTGCTAGGTTGCTAGGAAACAGTGCAGTACCCATTCATTATGGCCGAACATTCAGGCGGTTTTTGAAACTGCAAATTTTTCCAGACCCCAAAAAACATTTACTTGTTGCAAAAAAAAAAAAAAAAAAAAAAAAAAAAAAAAAAAAAGGTGGGGGGGTTTTTTTAAAAGAAGTTAGAACCCAAAAAAAAAAA